CTCAGATGCCCATTCCTAAAGAGCAGATAAGGTTAAGTGCAACAAATTCATTCAGAAATTTTACAGTTGGTATAACCTGTTGTAAGTTATTGTTGCAGAATACAAGAAAATCCTGCTACTAGTATGGGAAAAGAAAGATGAACAATCAATAACCTGCAATTGGAGTGCCTCCGAACGAGAACGAATTTCTCTCCTAGCAGGTCGAGCACTACCAAAATCCATCAATATTGCAAGAGGTGATTTCCCTTTTCTATGAGTTACAAGAACATTACCAGGTTTCACATCATTGTGTGCATAAGGAGATTCACCACTGTGCATATGCTTAAGCCCTGCACAAAGCTGCAGCAGGAACAGATACTCATCATAAATAAGTCGAGAAAATTCCACAAGACGTAAACTGCTCAAGGTGAAAACTACAAACGGCCATTACCTGGCGAAATATCTCCAGAACATCCAATGTAGAAAAGAATTCCTTCTTAGCCTTCATGGCCTGGGAATTGTCCAGTAATGTTCCATCCAAATGAACTGGAAATAATAAGTATGCTTCATGTTTCACAGATCCTTCAGTAGATGACTACCCCATAACAAAAGAAAGATTATGCACAGTCAATGACAATACCATTCATAGAAAGTATTACTTGAACCAGAAGCCTAAATGGTAATGGTAATGCCAATACTAAAAGAACAAATTATTATAAATCAGAAACTACACCCTTCAAAATGAAAAGGTCGTTGCCTAACGAGGAACGAGTTTCTGAGTTTTCGTAGTCAATGCAACATCGTAACGACATCTAATCTCCAAGGAAAAACCCGCATATTAATCCATCCGTTCATCCATAATCCAGACTAGAAGTGTATAAAAGAAGACAAACTTTTTGCTATATTCACTTAAAGGAAGATACTTAGGTGATTATGATTTCATTTCCAAAAATTTCAACAGAATTAGCACCGTCCTTCAAAGCTGGTTGGTAGGAACCTAGAGATCAAATGATTAATTTACTTCATAATTGGATGTGGGAAGTTTCAAGAGCTATAGATATGCAGATACCTAAAGCAAAGCCTCCTGAATGCCTTATTACACTAAAAGTAGTGTCCTAAAAGAGAATATAATTACTTAGAACTCAAAGCAGACAGAGGAAAACATCATTAGGCGCTACCTTAACAGCAATTATAGCATGGTCAAGAAGTGGAAGCAGATTGGGATGACTAAAACGCGACGAAACACGTATCTCATCCCTCACCAGCTCCAATTGCTCACTGCTCTGAATTAGTACCTTTTTCAAAGCATAAGTGCCATCACCTACACAAGAATCAAATTCATTGAAAAATAACCCACATCGTTAGCCATATTTAAAGAAATTCAAGATCCAGATCAGATTGAAGCATTTTTAAATCCATTTCCGAAGGACTCAGATCAGAAAACGCAACAAGGAATTCAAAAACACAGATTAGGGAAAAAGGCGAACCAGAAAGACGAGATGGGTCCTTCAATTTCTTGGCAAGACCGCCGCCGGAGGCAGAAGACGAATCGGAAATAACCTCTTTGACCAAAAATACAAAGGCGAACCCGCCTTCACCGAGCTGCCTCACGATCCTAAACCGATTTTCGTTGATCCAAATGTCTCCGCCGCCGTTAACAGCGTCGTACAGAGCATTCAACCCAGAAAAGGAGCAACCCATTTCCAAGCATATAGATTCGAAGGGCTTCAAAATTGTTTGGAAATGAAATCAAGCTTCAAGAAGGCACCATGAAGACCAGATATCGTGTGAATTGAAAAAGATCGGGAACTGAAAGTGCGATTTACGTTACAATAAAATATATAGATTGGGCATGAAGCCTTTCTTCGAGGAGGATTGCTTGGTGTTGACCTGTGGGAGCAAAGCTTCGTCGGTGAGTCGCTCGAGTTTACTTCACATAACTGGATTCACCGCCGCTTTTGGCACACGCAACCACGCTACCACTCCCACCAATGTTCCAATAAAAAGATTAAAGATTATTCCTCTCTTTTTAATAAAAATAATTCAAAATATATTTTTTTTTAAAATTACAAATCTATTTAGTCTTAAACTAATTATGTATTAACTCAATAATCTATTTTGATCATGTATTAACTCAATAATTAATTAAATAAAGTATTAATAACCTTAATTTCAGTTAAAAGTGACAGTTAAAAGTGATTGTTTCAAATTGACAATTATATTTTCTCAAAGAAAACCAATTTATTTTCTGATAATTGAATTGTTTTGAGAAAATCCCATTTCAAGCTTTCAAATTTTTATTTTAATCCTTATTCCATTTTAGTCTTCAAACTTTCAGAAAAATCTATGTTAATTTTTATAAATTTGAAAAATAACTATTTTGATCCTACTCTTATTTTAATTCAAACACTAATATAATATTAAGACTGTCTATGTCCGTGACAAGTAAGCAAATTTATGATTAAAAAGATGCATAGTGTCACAATCATGCTCATCCTAATCCTAGCCGTGTTGTCTGTGACCACATGTCCATGCCACCCCAAATTGTTGAGTTGTATGGTCATATTTTCTGTTTGTCTAGGCCTACATGAATCACCTCAAAATGTACCATAAAGGTGTGATTAGTTGTCAACTCCTCCCATAATTTTGTACAACAATCCTAAAAATCAGTCTACACCAGTCATACTAGTTGTCAAATTCTCCCACCATAGGCTTATTTTCAAAAATCTCAAAAATGGGGCGGGAGGCTTGAGCATATTGTTTGAACTAACAATGTTACAACCCCTTGCCCTTGAAAGAATTCACACAAGGTGGCGTACGACCAAACAAATTTGAAAGTAAAACAGAGTACACTAACAAGTTTGGAGAAAAAAACTTGAGAAAAGTTGCAAAAAAACCAAAGCTTTACTCTTTAGAAAAGGGTACTCGTAAATTCTGATACTTCTGCAACAACTTGATCATAATCAGCCTTGAGTTTCTCTTGTTCAGTTGATCCAAGCTCCCCTTTGTTTGGTTTGGTTTGTACCAGCACACAACATGTTGGCCTCTTGGTCGAACCTGCACTGGCGAGATCCTGTAGAACGTACATGCCATTATCATTATCAGAAGGAACGAAGAATCATGGCAAATTCTGGTTGAGCAAACTCATAAGGATCCTAATGAACT